CAGGATGAAGCCAAGAGGCAGGAACTCTGGGTAGCAGGTGCCCAAGGACTTGAGCCATCACCTGCTGCCTCCCAGGGTATGCATTAGCAGGAAGCTGGAATTGGAAGTGGATCGAGGACTTGAACCAGGCACTCCGACATGGGATACAGCCATCCCAAGCAGCATATTCACACGTGCCAAATGTCTGCCCCCCACCAACATGAGGTTTTTTTTGGTTTTTTTTTTTTTTTTTTTTTTGACAGGCAGAGTGGACAGTGAGAGAGAGAGACACAGAGAAAGGTCTTCCTTTGCTGTTGGTTCACCCTCCAATGGCTGCCGCGGCCAGCGCGCTGCGGCCGGCGCACCGCGCTGATCCGATGGCAGGAGCCAGGTGCTTTTCCTGGTCTCCCATGGGGTGCAGGGCCCAAGTACTTGGGCCATCCTCCACTGCACTCCCTGGCCACAGCAGAGAGCTGGCCTGGAAGAGGGGCAACTGGGACAGAATCCGGTGTCCCGACCAGGACTAGAACCTGGTGTGCCGGCGCCACTAGGCGGAGGATTAGCCTAGTGAGCCACGGCGCCGGCCCAACATGACTTTTGACTGGAACAAAGCATACCCAAACCACAGCATCTACAAATTGAACTGGTGTCGAGGTAAAGACCAAGAAAAACAATTCTGATTACCTCTGAGTGCACAGGAGTCCCAGAAACAAAAAATGAGACTCAGAAAAAGGTCAAACGATTTTGTAGCATCCCAAGCTTCAGAGAGGAAGAGACGGGTTTGGGCTTCCGGCCAGTGATGCAGGCAATTGCAGGAGAGCAAGGGGAAGAAAGAGGAGGTGCATAGGTGTTGCTCTGCGTGCAGCTGAAAGTCTCCCAGGTGGTGCAAGCTGTCTGGAGCAGCTCTCGTCCCCAGATGGACTCCTCTACCAATGGAAATGTCCTTCACAGAAGGCGACATCGTACTCTATTTTAAGCAGTAGAGAGGGAGGTAAGACTCTTTTTCTGCATTAACTGGTTCTCAGTTCCTTTTAGCTTCAAGTAATGAATATGCCAAGGCGGCATATTTGGGTGTAGTGTGTTCGGAACACTTTCATGGCATCTGGTGGGTTCCTCCCAGAACAGCCACACTCAGCACTGCACACGAAGCTTGCTCAGCACACATGGCCACGAAGCACTCCATCCACGCCACCCAATGCAGCCAGTGCATGCAGCCAGTGAGAAAGCCCTGCCAAGAGTGGCTGCTGCATTGCGTGCACAGCCTCTCCCTCCCTGGCGCTGAGAAAACTCCCCGGAGGGGCCGGCAGGCCATGCTCTACTGCAGGCCTCTACTCACCTCTCCTGCGAGGATCCTGGGCATCAGGCTCAGTAGGTCCTTTCATCCCCAGGACATCTCCAGGCCCCTGCCTGGCCCTGGATGGTGGCAGCAACCTCCATCCCTCTCCCAACCTACTGCTTCTTCACCTCCTGGGTATCCATGATGTGTCTCCTCTTCTCTAGGATGCACTCTGGCTCCCTGCTGCCCACCACAACCACAGCTGGCTGATCTTCAGGTCTCAGCGATCCTCCCTACCCTACAGTACAATCACTTTTTAGAATAAGGGTAGCTGGCGCCGCGGCTCACTAGGCTAATCCCGCGCTTTGCGGCGCCAGCACACCGGGTTCTAGTCCCGGTCTGGGCGCCAGATTCTGTCCCGGTTGTCCCTCTTCCAGGCCAGCTCTCTGCTGTGGCCCGGGAGTGCAGTGGAGGATGGCCCAAGTGCTCGGGCCCTGCACTCCAAGGGAGACCAGGAGAAGCACCTGGCTCCTGCCTTGGGATCAGCGCGGTGTGCTGGCCGCAGCGCGCCGGCCGCGGTGGCCATTGGAGGGTGAACCAGTGTCAAAGGAAGACCTTTCTCTCTCTCTCTCACACTGTCCACTCTGCCTGTAAAAAAAAAAAAAAAGAATAAGGGTCCCAGGGGGCAAGCATTTGGCCTGGTGGTGAAGATACCTGTTAGATGCCTGCATCCCATGTTGGAGTGCCTGGGTTCAACACCTGGCTCCTGCTCCTGCTCCTGACTTCACCTTCTTGCTAATGCAGTCTCTGGGAGGCAATGGCCATGGCTGAAGAAACTGGGCTCCTGTCACCCACATGGGAGACCTGGGTTGAATTCCTGCTTCCTGAATTTGACCTGGCCCAGCCCCAGCCATTGCAGGCATTTGGGGAATGAACCAGAAGATGAAAGCTCTCTATTTGTCTGCCTGTCTGTCTGTTTCTCTGCCTGGCTTTCTGAGAGAGAGTGATTGATATGATCTAGATGCCAAGTACCTGAGTACCCAGCCCCACAGCCTCCCATCCTCGCTGGGCCCCGTAAGCCCTACTCACTCGTCAGGGCCAGCTGTTGCTCAGGCCTCCTTCTTGCTCTCTTTTTAAAGCCTGCTCCAGTGTCAGCACTGACATGACCTCTGGTCCTTTGTCCCTTTAGGAAGTGTCCTACATGCACATGGGACAGGACATCTGACAGGCATTTTAGGCAGAGGCACCAAATGGCACCAGCTGCCATGTGCCAGGAGAGGTGCAAAGCCAGGAGTCCTGTGGCTCCTCCAGTCCTCACCCACAACAGGGCGAGGAGGGTTAGGAACTGGGATGGGGGTTTTCCCTTCAGCCCAGCCACAGAGAGGACACTTGAACAGCTGGGCTGTGTCCTCTGGGTCTTACAGGCACCATACACCATGTTGATGCTTTGCTTAGAAAGTGTTCAGAGCCAGGGGCTGGCTGCTTGCAGCACAGGGGAGAGCAAGGGTGGGAGGTGGGGTTCTTGTCCCCAGGGTCCTGCAGGGGAAAGAGGTGAGAGTATGCTAGGCAAGAGAAGCCCAGTGCTAGCCCCAAGGCTGAAAAGCAATGACACGTTCCAGCCTGAGGGGCTCCTGCAGCCTGGCTGAAGTGCAGAGGGCCTTGGGAGCAGCGAGAGGAGATATGGCCAGGCCAGAGTCCTGACACCCTGACCAGTCTCCCTCCTGTTTGGTCTCCCATGCAAGGAGAATCACTGCTGATGCTAAATTATATTTATTTATTTTCATTTATTTGAAAAGCATAGAGACAGACAGATAGATACACACATATAGAGGGAGAAGGAGGGTGGGGGGAGGATCTCCCATCTGCTAGTTTACTGCCGCAATGCCCACAACAGCCAGGGTGTGACCAGGGAAAGCGAGGAGCCCAGAACTTCATCCAGATCTCCCACGGGGGTAGCAGAGACCCCAGTACTTGAGCCAGCACCTGCTGCCCCCCAGGATACGTATTAGGAAAAAGCTGAATCGGAAGCAGAGCCGGGACTTAAACCTAGGCACTCTGATGCGGAATGCAGGCTTCTCACGTGGCATCTTAGTCTCTGCGCCAGAAGCCCTGACTCTAAGGCCTCATGTGCTTTCCCCAGGCTGCTCTCCACCCTCTGCACGGCACTGCCTCCTTTCCATCTCCGCCTGGACATCTGATCGACCCCAAACTCAATGCATCCAACTCCAAACTTGTGAGTTCTCCTTCAAAAACTGTCCCTCTGGGGCCCAAGCTGTGGTGTAGTAGGTTAAGCCTCCACCAGTGGAGCTGGCATCCCATATGGGTACCGGTGTGAGTCCCAGGTACTCCTCTTCCTATCCAGCTCCCTGCTAACGTGCCTGAGAAAGCAGTGGAGAACGGCCCAACCACTTGGGCCCCTGCACCCACAAGGAAGACACCAAAGAAGCTTCTGGCTCCTGGCTTCGGATTGGCCCAGCTCCAGCCATTGCAGCCATCTGGGAGTAAACCAGTGGATAGATGACCTCTACCTCCTCTCTGTAACTCTACCTCTCAAATAAATAAATAAATAAATCTTTAAAAAAAATACCTGTCCCTTCCAGCCAGAAGTCATGGAGCTGCCTTGAGTCTCCTGGGTCCACACCCAATCTGCCAACATACCTGGTCGACTGGCCCTCCAGTGGTCACCTGCATCCAGCCATCTCTTGCCAAGCCCAACCTACCTCTCCACATCTACAACCACCTTCTTTTGTCTAGACCACTGGCCTCCAACTGCCCCCTTTGTCCTCTGCTCCCAGGGGTTTATTTTCTACACAGCAGGCAGAGCAATTGATGGAGCAAGGATATAAAACTCAGTCATTTTAGGTCCTTGTTACCTTGCCTTCTTTCTACTTTAAATTTTTAATTTTTTAAAGATTTGTTATTTATTTATTTGAGAGGCAGAGTTACAGACAGTGAGAGGGAGAGACAGAGAGAAAGGTCTTCCTTCTGTTGGTTCACTCCCCCAAATGGCTGCAACAGCTGGAGCTGCACCAATCCGAAGCCAGGAGCCAGAAGCTTCTTCCAGGTCTCCCACATGGGTGCAGGGGCCCAAGGACCTGGGCCGTCCTCCACTGCTTTCCCAGGCCACAGCAGAGAGATGGATTGGAAGAGGAGCAGCCGGGACTAGAATTGGTGCCCATATGGGATGCAGGCACCTCAGGTGGAGGATTAACCTACTGCACCACAGTGCCAGCCCCACCCATGCCTTCTTTCAAGAGACCAGTTCAGTTTGACATCTTGTATTGTGCCCTACCCCACTTCTGCACTCTTCTTCAGGTTTGAAAGCCAACAAAAAACTTGGAAGACCTGTATAGAGAAGCTCACCATATCCTACGGCACCCACCCCCACCCCCAGCCCACCTAAGATGTAAAAAGGCCCAGTCTGCTGGGGTCTGGGCCCTCTGCTGTGTGTTCAGTCTGTGTGCAGGCTGGCAGTTGGTCGACCTCTGCAAGTTTACTTTCTTCGAATAAATTCGATCTGGCTGTGAGTTTGTTCCCTGTCTCCTCTCTGTTTCTTCCCCCCCTTTCCTTACAGCAATGCTTTCAAAAACCTAGCTCAAAGCATTCGGCTCCCTGGCTTAACGCTCCCAGTGGGTTCCCACAGACTCCAGACTTGAGGCAGCAGCTCTGCACAAGACTCCACAACCCCCAACTCCCGCCTTGCCAACTCCATTCCTGTGTTCTCACCAGGGCTCCTCTCTCCTAATTTAGGTTCTTTGCATACTCTCCTTCTGACATGCTCCGCCCCTAGGTCTCATCTTTTGGGGCTCAGTTTAAGCCTCTCCTCCCGGGAGACACCTTCCCTGACCCCACCCACCTCCCTGGAGATTTCTTTCCTGGGCCACACCTGAGAATCACCACGACCACACGCAAGCTTCTCCTGCGTTGTCTCTGCCTGCCTTCGTGCGGCTCACGGGCTGGTGCTGGTGCTGTCCTTGGTGCTGGAGACATGGCAGGGATCCACGCAGACCTGCTGTCCCGCCCAGCCGGCCATCCTCAAGGCAGCCTGGCACAGAGAAGAGGTGCGGCAGACACTTGTTAGAAGTTGTTGTTTTATTAAAGCAGGTGTGTAGGGAGTCAGTCTGAAGCCTCACAGATATGGACTATGCAAATCAAACCAACTGGAGTGTACCAGCAGGCATTTTTTGTACCCCACAATGAATCCTTGTTTAGAGTAAAGAATTCTTTTGTAATGGAAATGATCTTCCTCCCTCCCAGCTCTTTGTTGCTCATTTTCCCTGAGGTTCAGGACTCCTCTCACACTCTATGCCAAATGCATGTGTGCCTGCGGCCCCTACCCTCTGGCTTACCCTTCATGTCTTCCATTAGATCCTTGAAGGAGTCCATCACACTGAAAGGGTCAGAAGACGTGGCTCTGGCCTCTGCCCTTCTCTCAGCACCGTTCAGATGGGGCCCTTTCCGGGCGAGTCCATTCCCTGATGATTGTCTATTTGGAGAGAATGGCTCTTCATTAGCCACACACTGCCAGCCAGCCAGCATTAAATGAATCACTGGATCCACGCACTCAGTGAGAACCCTGACATAAAAAGCCTAAATGTACTTTCTAAGACTACGAGAGAAAATATTTTTTGCCGTACTTCAAAGAGGCTGCAAGCAACAAGTCTTGGGAGGATGTGAAAAGCTCGCCTGGTGCTCAAAGCGGCCGAGCCCCTGCACATCCCCTGTGAAAGAAGAAAGGGCACTTCTGGTTTCAAGCTGCCGCTGGATCTCACAGTGGACTCCGCTCACTGAGAGATAAAGGATTTCTTCCCCTGACTCGAACAGTGCAGAGGGATTTTTGGAGGGCACAGCCCCTTGGGCAGCACCCCTTAGGGAAGAGACCTAAGCTCCAGCCCCTTGCATCTAGGAGTGAAATCTCAGCCAACTTCCTCTCCCATTCTGCAAGCAACTCAGATACCCCATTGCATCATTCTCTGGTTCTGTTCCCTCCCTGGTGTCAAAGGATGACTCCAGCCACCCTGTGTGCTCCCTGGAAGCCAGAGGCACCCCCTTCCCAGCCCCTAGGACTCTATCCCAGTCCCCTCCCATCCTGACTGCCTGGGTTGGGGGAGGGAGTGTGGGTCTTGTTGATGTTCATTTGACAAAGACTGCCAGGAGCACCCCTGTAGTTACACACGGTGAGACTCCATTTTGCGTTGCTGAGGGAGGCCGACGTCAGGGAGACCCATGGGAGTCTCCGTAGGACTGCGTTTGGAAGACATGGCATAGACTTGAGTTTTCCAGATGCAGAGCTGAGACTTGAGGAGAAATCCTGTGAGGAACAATGAAGTAGTGCAAAATCTAAAATCAGTAAAGAAGCCACTTGTATTAGCCACACACGGGGCTCTACCAGTTGCTTTTGGGATTTGGAGAGTGTTCTTGTTGATTTCAATGCCCAGGCATGGTTATGGAGTGGCTGTGTTTTTTTCTTGGCCTGTTCTGATCCAGAGAGGCACAGTCCAATGCAGATGTTCTATGAGACTGCTTTGTCCTAACCGCACCCGAGCCCTCAGGCCCGGCCGGTCAGCTGCCAGCTCCACTCCCGGCCTGCTCTCGGCTCTCAGCTTCTGTTCCCGCTCTGAGGTGGTGCCCGGTTTTGTGCTGTCCTCTCTCTTTGCTGTGGCCTCTTTGCTTCATCTCTTCACTTCCAGGGGGCTTACACCTCTCCCCTACTCTGTGTCTTCACTGTCATTTTTTAAAAAAGACTTATTTATTTATTTAAAAGGCAGAGTTACAGAGAGTCAGAGAGAGAGAGAGAGAGAGAGCGAGAGAGAGAGAAAGAGAGAGTGGTCTTCCATCTGCTGGTTTACTCCCCAAATGGCCACAATAGCCAGAGCTGTGCTGATCTGAAGCCAGGAGCCAGGAACTTCTTCTGGGTCTCCCACATGGGTGCAGGGGCCCAAGGACTTGGGCCATCTTCTACTGCTCTCCCAGGCTGTAGCAGAGAGCTGGATGGGAAGCAGAGAAGCCAGGAATGGAACTGGTGCCCATATGGGATGCCAGCACCGCAGGTGACGGCGTTACCTTTTTTTTTTTTTTTTTTTTTGTCAGGCAGAGAGGACAGTGAGAGAGAGAGAGAGAGAGAGAGAGAGAGAAAGGTCTTCCTTTACTGTTGGTTCACCCTCCAATGGCTGCTGTGGCAGGTGCACCGCACTGATCTGAAGCCAGGAGCCAGGTGCTTCTCCTGGTCTCCCATGCAGGTGCAGGGCCCAAGCACTTGGACCATCCTCCACTGCACTCCCAGGCCACAGTAGAGAGCTGGCCTGGAAGAGGAGCAACCAGGACAGAATCTGGCGCCCCGACTGGGACTAGAACCTGGGGTGCCGGCGCCGCAGGTGGAGGATTAGCCTAGTGAGCTGCAGTGCCGGCCGGCTTTACCTTTTTTAAAGGACTTTGCAGAGAGCAAAGGCAGGTGTCGTCACCTCCAAGTGAGCATTTGCCTGGGAGTTCTTCGGGCCCTTCAGCTGAGCTGACTTCCGGAAATCTGCTCCTCAGTGAAGTCCTTGTATCCTTTGCAAGGGGACACCAGAGAATTGTGTTTAACACAGGTCCTTTCGTTGACAACATGGGAGAAAGCAGCGTGGATCACAGGCTGATACTGGGATGAAGAAAGTTCAATCCCCTTATTGAACGAGAGCTGTTTTTCTCCAGGCATTCCACTTTATCATCTACTCCGCACCGAGCCTGCAGCGTCCTGGGGAGCCTCACAGATTCATTTGTTTTCCAAAGTGGATTTCCCATGGCTGAGTAACTTTGTTCTTTTATGTCTGGAGGAGCAAAAATATTTGCTTCTTACAAACTGCCAAGGTAGTAAACAGACACGTTAATAAGAAGCCTCTTTCTCATCTGTGATATTCAGTAGTTTTAATTAGCTAAGTGCACAGCTACTAAGGTATAAATTATTAAAGCCACAGGGGAGAATGCCCTTTAATGCAGTGACATCCGCCTACCGTCTGCCTCAGCAACTTGGCTTCACTCAGTGGTGCTCTGTGGAGAAATAACAGCGATATTACACAGGAATCATCATCAGGACGCAATCCCACAGGCCGGGACTGTTCCACATCCGTGTGCTCCTGCGAGAAGGCAGAGGACGTGTCGTTGTGGATAGCCCGCGAGGGAAAGGCAGCATTGGGGATGGGAGGTCTGGCTCCAGGTCTGCCAGTCCCCAGCGACCCCGTGGATTGGGGCAGACTTGTTGGAGAGCAGGGGACGGCAGGTGCAGGAGCTATGTGGAACTGCCTTGGCAAATCCCATGGATGGCACCATTTAAAACACCTCGTGCCTGTAGGTGCCGTCCTGGTTTTAGAGAGCTGGATTCGGTGTAGACTGGGATTGGTTACTAGAAGTGAACACAACCCTTGGAAAAGAAGAACGGGTTACTAGAGAGCAGCCCTGCTTATTAGCAGTAGGTTCCACGCCAAGACTGTAACAACGCCACCTACTGGAATGTCTAGGGCAACTGTCGTGTGATTTCGCTTCTCAACAGCTCCATTTAAGTGGTAAGGAAAGAAGGCTAGAGAGATTGATACATTTGGAGCGATATAGCCTCCATTTGAACTCATGTCTGATTCAGGGTCCCCTCCTCCCAGAAGCCCTCCCTGACTCCACATGCCCTCAGCATACCCTGGACCTGCCAGATTGCAGGAGCAGGGTAGGAACGTTGTTCTCAGTTATTCCCAAATAACTGGCCCAGAGCAGCTTCTGGATGAATTCCTCCTGAACCCACTGAATGCCAAGCGTGTCCCTCCCTCCTTGGTGGCCAAATACCATTACATCTCCATCTCTGGCTCACACTCCCAGCTACCTGGCATGAAGACTGTATAAGGAGTCACTTGTTGCCCATACAAACAAAACTCAAAGTTGTGAGCATTAGGGGCCGGCGTCACGGTGCACCAGGTTAAGCCACTGCCGGCGATGCTGGCATCCCGTATCCTGGTACCGGCTTAAGACCTGGCTGCTCTGTTTCTAATCCAGCTCCCTGCTAATGTGCACGGGCCCCTGCCGCCCATGTGGAAGACCTGGATTGAATCCCAGGCTCCTGGCTTTGGCCTGGCCCAGCCCTGGCCATTGTGACCATTTGGGGAGTGAACCAGAGGACAGAAGATCTCACTTTCTCTGTCTCTTTGTCTCTTTCTCTCTCCCCTTCTCTTTCTGCTACTCTTCTTTCAAATAAATGAAAATAAATCTGTTAAAAATAGTAATGAGCATTAAGGCCAATTTTTTTCCATAAACAGAACATGAGAGACAATGGAGAGAAGGCGTGAGGGCTGGGAGAGGCTCGCATGGCTGCGAGGACAGCCCTCCACCCCGAGCTGCATTTTGGAACTGAACTCCTGCTGGCAGCCACATGCTGGCGAGCCATGGCAGGAGGGGACCAGGGAGCTCACCCCGAAAGCCAGAGTTCTGTGCAGTCGGAGGGGTGGAGACAGCCCACTGCAAGGTGCCACAGCCCCAGAGGGCTGAGCGGCAGCCAGGGCCTCATTTTAAATGTAGGATCATATCCTCTGTGAGTTCAAAACAGAGGAAGAGAAAGAATTCCAAAGAAACAGTCTGCTTGGGTCTGGCAGGGAACGCTGGGTGGGTCAAGCCGTGGTGATGGTATCAGACAGTGTGGAGGCAGGCTGGGCCTGGCTCCCGCTGGGCCACTTCCTGGTGCAAATCAGCTGTTACATTCTCCGTGCTTCAGTCAAATCCTCTGTAAAATGCATGTGACATTGACTCCTATTTCACTGGATTGTTTTGAAGATTAAGAAGGTTCATATCCATGAAGAGCTCAGAGCAGGACCTGGTCAATGTGGGTTGAGCACCTGCCATGGGCGTGCATGGTGTTAAGTTCTATACCTGTGCGAATGAATGCATGTGAGCCTCATACAGCCCCAAACAGCACGATCCCCATTCTACAGATGGGAAAACGAAGGCACCAGTTGCCCACGAAGCTTTCCTGAGATCACACAGCTGGGTGCAAACTGTTGAAATCTTCACTTAATATATACTAAATTGACCTTCTGTATATAAAGAGAATTGAAAATGAATCTTGATGTGAATGGAAGGGGAGAGGGAGGGGGAGAGAGAGCGGGAGAGGGGAGGGTTGCGGGTGGGAGGGAAGTTATGTGGGGGGGGGAAGCCATTGTAATCCATAAGCTGTACTTTGGAAATTTATATTCATTAAATAAAAGTTTAAAAAAATCAGACAAAAAAAATCACACAGCTAAGAAGGTGCAAAGCGAGGGAATGAATCTGGTGCAGGACTCCCTCTCCCTAGGTTGAGCTTTCCTGTCCTTTTGGGTTTTTATGGCGAATTTATTATAAATGCATGACTGATGAAATCCTTGGTCACTGGTGTTCAAGGTAACCTTCTATTCTCTTCACCTCTACCCTCCCCTGAGGTTGGCTGGCAGGGCTGAAACTTCCAAGGCTTTACCTGCCGCTGGCTTGATCTGTCTGGTGACCAGTACTCATGCTGAAGCTCCCTAAGGGTTATCAGCCATCAGTCAATCCATTAGCATCCTAAAGGCACTTGTGAGTTTGGAGAGTCCAAGGATTTTAGGAGTCTTATACCAGAAAATGGGATGAAGACCAAATATTTATTCCACGATATCACAAGTGGGGTCCCCTAAAGGAGCTACTGAAGCCCTGTCCCCAGTTCCTGTGATTGTGATCTCACTTAGAAATAGGGTCTCTGCAGAATAACCAGGGAAGGATGAGGCCACAGTGGATTGGTGTGGGACTTAATCCAACCACAGATGTCCTTGTAAGAAGAGGGAAATTTGCACACAGACACACAGGGAGAATTCCATTTGAGGACAAAGACAGAAATTAGGGTGATGGATCTACGAGTCAAAGATGGCAAGATTCCAGAAGCCAGGAAAAGCGAAGGCTCCCTAGGGTCTTCAGGGATGGGACTTAGTCTATTCATACAAGGCGACAAGTTATTTTGGTGTAACATGCGATGTCCCCTTGCGGGGTTTGCTCTCATCACTGAGACCACGCGTGCTGTTATCACATCAGCACCGACTTGCGCTGGGCCCCACAGAGGGCCCTCAAGCAAGAAGACGGGTGCAGGATTTCCCCACTTTGCTGACAAGGGGTGGTCTGCCCAGAGTCTCCCCCTGCAGCTCAAAGGTTGGCCCCCCAGCCCATCCCACCGTGAGGTTCTGAAGGAAAATCTGTCACTGCACTCGATGTGAACATGACACGCTGAAAGCCACACAAGGGACCCAAAGTCCAAACCAGGCCGTAGATGTCAATGGAATCCTGACCCGCCGCAGCCTTGGCAGTGACCAGCCCAGGAGGCTCCACACTCCAATGATGTTTCCTTCCCTAGTGATTATCCCTGCTCCTCCCCGACTTGGAACAGACCAGAGAAAGCCAAATATGCGCCCATCCCCCCCATCACCCAGGATGTACCGCCTTGGCCTCCCAGGCCCACAGCCTCTGCCCTTTTCTCACCAGGAAACTTCCCCCTCCCAGCCTTTCTCACCAGGAAACTCCCCCTCCAAGCCTGCCTGCCCTGCGATGCTGGCTGACCCAGGGGCCAAGGCTGTGGGGGACCCCCTTGCCGCGGCTCTGGGCACACAGCTTCTCCCCATTCTCATTCAAGCGACCTTTGTTTTTGCCATATGTGTCTAGATCTGTTAATAATATTTGGCTTATACAAGAGTTCAGACAACTGGTGATGAAATTTAGCGAAAGAACAGGCTCTCTGTGATAATACCATGCCTGGCCTCGGGTGATGAAAGCAAACCCAGTAAATGAAAATTCCATTTTACACTAAAATAAATTCTTTCCTTTTAAGAAGAATTGATTAAATCCTGTCTCCACTGTTAACTTTGAAATATTGCTGGCTCGCCACCCACCTTCCCCACAGGCTGTCTCTTAGCAAGAAGGAGCAACAGTGAGGGTAGGGATAGATTCTTTCAGTGGCATCTGGCCAGGAAGCGAGAACTGGTGGGTGATGTGGAAACAGCAGGACCCAGTGGCATGTGCCCTGCAGAGAGGGAAGGCCAAGGGTAAAGGGCACACAGGGAGCGCCCCCCTGGGGCTGAAGCCAGCAGGTAGGAGCCATAGCTTGGACAAAGAGCTACTGAGCAGATCCAAGCCAGAAATCACTGCAGGCATGAAGACCATGTCTGCAAGTGGGAGGGCAGGGCCCAGGACTCACAGCTGGAGGGCATTTGTGTGAAAACAATGAAAGGACACAGCCTGCCTGCCCTGGTAGCTGAGGCTAATGGGGGAAGGGGAGGAGGGAGGATAGAAGAAGCCTGCCAGAAGATTTAGTTATTTATTAGAGAGAGAGAGAGACCATCTTCCATCTGCTGGCTTACTCCCCAAATGGCTGCAATGGCTGGGGCTGGGCTAAGCTGAAGCTAAGAGCCAGGAGCCCCATCCAGGTCTACCACATGGGTGGCAGGGTCCCAAGCACTTGGGTCCTCTGCTGCCTTCCCAGGTGCGTTAGCAGGGAGCTGGATCAGAAGCAGAGCAACTGGGCTGGAACTGGTTCTCTGATAAGGAGTGGCAGCATGGCAGGTGGTGGCTTAACCTGCTGCACCACAACACTGCATCCCCCCCCCCATTTTTAATTTTGTCGTGTCGTGTGTTCCTTTTTATGTTTTCTATGTGTTCTGCAATTAATATCTATAACTTCTTGAATGAGAAAAGCGATTTTTAAGAGTATGAGTATGGGGGTGATAAAAGATGTATATCGTGTAAGACATCCTGAAGCCATGGTTTAAAACATCACCTCAGAGGAGATCACTCAGAGGCAAGTTGTGCACTTGTACCATTTCACTTGTGACTTATGAGAAGTGTTGAAACCTTGGACAGTAAAGATGCTGTCAGGATATCCAGGGGTAGCCATCGCAGGGGCCCTGGCACCGGCTGTTCCCTCTGCCTCAACACTTCTCCCCCAGGCGTCTTCCTCCCCAGCATCGATCAGACCACTCTATGCAGAGATGCAGCCCCACTCTACCCCTTGTGCATTTGCCCGTGGGCTGTCTTCCCCTCCCTGGAACACGATCTGTGCACCGCAGAGCCGAGGTCTGTTTGCCCATTGCCGTACCCCTGGAGCCTGGGACGACAGCTAAAACAAGTGCTCGCAAAGCTTTGAGAAGTGAACCAGCTAATCGATGGCCAAATGAATCCTCTTGGAGGTTTCAGGGCGCATACGGCATTGGATCTAAACAGCCAGGTCTCTCTCCTCGTGGCCCCTCTGAGGATAGGAAGTGCCCTAGGCTCTCAAAGCAAAGCAAAGGCCTTGGCTATTCAAAGGATTCAATCCCCAGTGAGCTCTTCCATCCATGAGAAATGGGATTGAGAAAAGTTAGGTCTGTAGAAAGCACACTGAAGCCCGCAATGTCAACTCCCACTGAGAGGAACCAGAATTCCTTAGGGAAGTGGTTCATTTCATGTCTGGGACTGGAAGGGCAGATGATGAACTTGGGACACCTCGTCCTGCCTGGAAACAGCCTCGGACTAGGAAGATGATGACAGAAAAAGGCCCAAGGCCCAATCAGAGGGCTCCAACTGCCCAAAGGTGGAAGCCCTTGAGTAACAGTGGCAGTGTTCTGCAACACATCGAATATATTAAAATCTATATGTTTGTATTGACACTAAAAAAGCCTAAACAAGACAAGGTTAATTGGTCACCTTGGGAGGCTGCTAAGGCACAAATGTATTATTGTGAAAATTGGTCAAAGGAAGGGAAAGAATTGAGTATATATCTAGCTTTCCTTTATAAACTGTATTTCAGGATAATCAAAAAAGAAGAAATATTTGTGTCTCTAGAAAGCCATTCAAACTAATAAATGAAGAAGCAATGAGATAGTTAGAAAATCATCACTTGGCAAAGCCCCAATGAGGTAATGGATCCAGGTAGCAATAATCAATGGCTGCTAATCAATAAGCAAAAATCAATGGAGGATATTACATTGGGGAGATCAGGGTGGGAAACTGATCCACGTCAGCTAGCATCACTGAAGGTGGGGGACCAGACATACCTGTCTCTTGGGGCAATGCAATAGGAAGTACACAGCACCACCCAGAAGTAAGCAGGAAATTCATTCTGCCTCTCTCTCTCTCTCTCTCTCTCTCACACACACACACACACACACACACACACGTATTGTTATAAAAGCTCAAGCCTGGCCTCACCCAGCTCAGTCCCTGGCTTCCTGTTGGGGATGTGACCCATTGCTTCCACTTGTACTCCCAGTCTTGCCATCTGATTGTCAAGTTGTTTTTTTTTTTTTTTTCCTTAGAAATTGCACCTAAA